CTGTACGACCCCCATCCGGGGGCCTGGGGACAGCGTTGGCCTTTCCCGGGGCTGACAGCCGTGAAGAACCCTGGTAGAATTCTGGCTGCGACACCTTCCTCGTTAATATGGGTTTCACTTCCAATAACAGACCCTATTGCCACACTGTTCATTTACTTAAAGAAAAGTGTATGAAGAATTTGTAACTTAAACCAGGCCAGACTGTTTTGGCTCTACCCAACAGATGAGACATGGATATTAAAATAAGTTTTAAGAAACTCATTTGCTCGGCTCTTACTGTTCTGCTCTCTGTAGCATTGGCACGAGCTCTCTTGCAGTGGCTGCGCAGAGGTGACACGGGACAAGATGAGGAAGAGTGGAGGAAGGTTGCATTCAACAGCTCAGAGCAGAGAGATCTGCATCGGAGAGGGGAATCGCTCCCTGCGCAGGCTGTTGCTGAAAATTACTGAGCCTTGTGTAATTACTGGCATTGATCTCGTGCTGGAATATTGGGACAGATATCCGAGGTGGGTTTGTCCCTCATTTCCAATAGAGTGGCAGCTGCCTTAAGAAGCTATATATGCTCAGGGCACAAAAAACACCTTTTTTGTGTCTGTTGATGAAAATTTGTGTTGAACTCCACTGCCCGCCAGCCGCTCCCCAGCCCATGGGCGCCCGAGGCTCCGGTCTCAGTCACCCCCAATAACCACGTTGAGCAGTGATGGGAAATTCAGCTGCTTTAATTTCTTATGGCTGAGTCTTGTCAGCTTTAAAAAAACCAGACAATAGAAAACAAAAAAGGACCTTGGCAGTTGAGGATGTTGAGATTGCTTATATCTGGGCTAATAACTGGGGAGCGCCGGTTCACATGCGCAGCTCCTCTGCCCACAGCTCCTCTCCCAAGCTCGGTGCGGGGCGTCCCCGGGAGTCCACGCCGTGAAGCAGGGCGGTACCTGCCCGCCCGAGCCCGGTTCCTCCGGAGGAAGAGTTGCTGGGGATCAGGGTTGCTCTGCAAACCTGACGTCACCCTCACTGCGCGTTAACTTGAAGTCAAAGTCGGCGTTCAGCTGAGCGTGAGTGAAACCCAACACCGAGAGCAGCTCGGCTCCCTCCCCGCTGCTGCAATTGATTATTTTTCGGCCCCCTGTGCCAGTTTTGATGATGCGACACAGATTTGGGCAGGGGGAGGCGGCGGCAGCGTTTCAGCAGTGAACGCACAAGCATCCTGCGGTGGGCCAGGTACCCACCACGCCTGCGTGGTGTGCCCGGGAGTGGGGACGCACGCGGGATTACGGGCCCAGCTTGACGCCAGCGGGAATGGGACTTACCGAGGGGCTGCCTCGCTGGTTGCTTCGCCTCCTACGTTAGCAGTTAGGAGTCA